AGTCCAGCATGGGAACTCCTGGACTCGGATTTTCCGTCTGTGGTGTGGCGGAGAGACGGTGTGGGACGCACATTCCCAGCACCCTCCGCTTTCCAACCGCACACGGCAAGGAGTTGGGGGCGGGGGGGCGCACATCCTAAAAAAATGCAGCTTCCTCCTCCGTCCCTAGACTTCTTCCTCCAGGCGGGAGGGTTTTTCCGGTGTCTGGGCGGGGGTGGGGCTGTCTCAGGGGCTGCTTTCAGGCTCAGCTGGATCCAGCGCGTCTCCGACTCCAGCAGGCGCGGCCCCGCCCAGGTGGGCTCAGGCTCTGCTCACTGGCTTTCCGGCTGCCACTCACAGAGCGGGGCGGACCTCAGGGAGACGCGAGTCCCGGGCTCCGGCTCCCTTACTCACTCGTTCACTCATTCAGGCAGCGCGTAGTGGATCACGGTTTTTGTGAGAATTACCTGATGAGTTACATGTGAACAGCATCCACGGCATGTAACATCAGTTATATGTGAAGCAACAGCCCGGCATAACGTTCCGTAAGTGTTCCCTGGCCTCCTGATTACTGACCTTTTCTCACTTTAACCTCGGGGTGACTACCCATTCTCAGTTAAGGTAGAGAAAGTGAAGCGCTCTACTGGAGTGGAGGAAAGGTGGGGTTCTTTACTGAGCACCTATTGTGTGCTGGGTGGGGAGATCGCTAGGAGAAGCCTGCCAGAGGAGGCGTGGCACTGGGGATGGCCTGAGGCGGGGCTGCAGGTGGGACCCAGGAGGTCTCTAGGGGAGGCTCCTGTGGGCACAGAAACCATCGGTAGGAAGATGAGCCTGGAAAGCAGCATGGCCGGAGGGCCCACGTGGGGCTGCAAGCACTGCCCTCCCCGCTGACCTCAGTCTCACACTGTCCTTAAAACACCTGGGCAGGGTCAGGATTAAAATCTAATGAGGGCAGCAAGGATTAGCATTAAGGCTAGGATCGCGGTCAGGGCTCCTGCATCTGCTAGCTGGGGTCCTCCACATTGCAAGGAGCCTGTACAGAGAGAACCCCAGGCCAGTGAGGCCTGCTTGAGGGACAGAGCCTGGGCTGGGAGCCAGACCTGGACAGCTCCTCCCCTACCTGCAGGTGGCAGACTTGAGCCCCCAGCTGGGTCCCAGGGACTTGCCAGGGACTTGTCTGTGTCCCCCCGAGACAGAACCAAGTCCTCGGTGCCTGGTGACCCACGAGGGAGTGGAGCTCAGGGCTCAGAAATGGTCAGTTCTCGTCAACCTGATGGGCTCCAGGGGTCTCCAAGTGTAGTGAAGATTAGGGGCAGATGCCTGGGAGGTGGGCAGAGAGGTGCCTGGCACGCAGTGGGTGCCACCTGAGTGCACCCCTCCTGGCCTTCATGGACCTCTGGGGGCTAAGTTCGAGCCCCGTGTTGGGTGTAGAGATTACCTGAAAGCATACTCTTGGGCTCAGAAAGGCCACAGTGGAGTTCTTCCAGACTTGGGGCTCTGCCCCCGCTGGGGGTCCTGGAGTCGAGCCTGTACCCCTGGGGGGGCTGTGACAGGCCAGTCTGTCCATCTGCATAGCGGGCACTGGAGGGAGCTAAGCCCTGAGACTGTACCGACCTGCTTGACCGAGAGCCTAACTCCTTAGGAAGCACCCGGGAGGGTTAATCGAACGGGAAACGATGGGGCAGGTACTTGGGGTCACCTTCAGTTCAGAAGCCAGCATCAGTGAATTCCGAATCCCGGGTTAAGTTGCCCCCTGACGGCACAGTCCTCTCCGCTCCCCTACCCCCCACCCCCCGCCGTGTCCACCACCTCCTGGAAGCTCTGGCATCATTTCCGTGTGTCTGCCTATCATCCCCTCCTCCCCAGTCCTGAGCTGCCGGGGCAGAGGCCAGCACCCAGCAGATACCCAGTCAGTCCCAACTGAATGAACGTGGGCTAGTGACCGAGGGACCCTCAGCGCGGGGTCAGCATTCTCTGAGTCATGGCCAGAGCGCATGAGCTGCTTCTTCCTTCACAGCCAGGGCTCCACCTGTGGTGCAGGCCGACCAACACGGCCCCTGGTGTCCACTCCCAGCCGGTCTCCCTAAAGCACAACTCTGCTCCTGCTATCTCCCAAATACACCTCCCGTCGCCTGGCCCAACACTGCCCTGCGGCCTCCACGCTCCTCCAGACCCAGCTGCTGCTCCCGCCGCCCACACGCTCTCTGCTCCTGTCCCCCCTCCACCCTGGCTGGTGCCCTCTTCAGGTGGGCAGCTGACCCAGGCCTGGCCGGTCACTCATTCGGTCCTGGGCACAAGCCTTGATATTCAGGGACTTCTGCTGGAGCCACTGGGGAAAGGACACATGCTTCCTGCATGGACCGCAGGGGCAAGTCCAGTAGCTGCGGCTTCCGGCCCCACGGCTGCCGTCAGGACTGAGGAAGACAGATGCCAACTGCCACAGCAGCCAGGGTCGCGGGACAGCCTGGCCGGGGCCTTCGTGTGTCCGCATCAACACAAGGAAAGTGACTCATTTAAAATAACCAGCAAAGGGCTCCTGGGTGGCTCAGTGTGTTAAACGTCTGCCTTCGGCTCAGATCCCGATCCCAGGGTCCTGGGATGGAGCCCCGCATCAGGTTTCCTGCTTGGCGGGGAGCCTGCTTCTCCCTCTGCCTCGGCTGTTCTCCCTACTCTCTCTCTCTCTAAAATAAATAAATAAAATCTTTAAAAAAAATAAAATAAAATAACCAGCAAAACTGGAGAAATGGGGACCCACAAACCAGAGGAAAACGGTTAAGAGAAGTAATATCCAGAAGTGACCCACAGGTGAAAACAACGAAGATTCAGGTTAAGTTTCTACAGGAAAAGGTAGAAAATGAAGAATTTCAGTAGAGAAACGGAAAAAGCCAAATACACACACTAGAACCAAAATGTACAAGGTGTGAGTTAAAGAACGTGGGGGACTGGCCGGCGTCTGAGAGGCTGGGGTCACCTTGTGCAGCCAGACACTAGGAGGGGCAGCAGAGATGTCGGGAGAAACAATGGCCAAGATGCCCCAAACCTAGGAGAGGCATCACCCACCCGTAAGCCCTAACAGCTCCGCAGACAAGCTACACCTAAGTGCGTCCCCATCAACCCGCCGGCGCCAAACCCACAACAAGCAACCCCATCGGAGACAGACCTGCAGAAACAGGGACTTCTCGTCAGAAACAACAGATACCAGGAGTCAATGAAACATATCCAAAATGGTGAAAGAAAGTCAACCAGGAACCCTATATCTGGCAAAAGTAAAATAAAACTAAGAAGTGCTTCAGAAGTAGAGGGACAGGGCCTTCTCCAGCCCACAGAGCGGGGAGCACGCCGGCCGCGAAGCCGCCATCCACGCAGCAGCACCTACAGGGACAGACCACCTCACCGGCGAACCCGGGGCCAAAGGGAGAAGTGAGCCCAGGCACAAACAGCCACCTTCAAAAGCCACGGACAAGGATGAGCTCCGGCCACGCTTGGTCTCAGAATGGCCGAAATCCAGAACGCGGACGCCACCAAGTACTGGTGAGGACGCAGAGCAGCCGGCGGGAATGCAAAACGCTGTCCCACAAAACTACACAGACCCTCACCGTTCGATGCAGCTCTGGGCTTTCGCAGGTCTGAAACCCTGCACACAGATGTTTACAGCGGCTTTATCCACAACTGCCCAAACCCAAACGTGGCCAAGGTGTCCTTCGGCAGAGAGTGGGTTATAACCTGCTGTCCGTCCGGGTGCTGGAATACCGCTCGGCGCTCAAAGACAGGAGCCGTCAAGCCACAGAAAGACAAGGAGGACCGCGGAATGCACGAAGCGGACACAGCAAGGCACCCCCTGATCAAACTGCTCCAAACCAGCCAGGAAGCCCTATTTCGGGTCTCCACACAATCACACGTGGGCGTGTGAAGTCTCCAGAAAAGCCAAATGTTTTAGGATCTGTTTCTCCGGGATGAAGCACCGTGTCGGAATGCAGCATTTATGGACGTGTTTCTATGTCTCTTCACTTGTGAGGGAACAAACCCCTTACTCACTCCTTTACCCAGAATGTGATTTACTGCCAACTATACAGGATGAGGAAACGAATAAAGTGACATTCAAAAGATATTTCTAACAATACGAAAGGAGAAGCAAAGATATGAGGGGATGCATTATTGAATAGGGAGGCAAAAAGAAAAAAAATAGCATGAAAGATAAAAATCTTAAAAACAGTAAGAACACACTAAGACAAGCAGATTTCTTGTTGTAAGCAGAGCCAACCAGAAGACAGGAGAGCAACTTCTCTCAAGTACTGGGGAAAACATTCCAATTAAAATCCTTCTGAAGTCCCTCTCACATCACCCACCCCCGCACACACCCTGGCTCCCAGCACTGGACAACCAACTCTCCTGCCCCCTCCCTCCTGCCCCGTCCCAGCCAGGCTGCACCCACCCGCTTCCCACCGTGTCTCCTGCCCCCTCCCAGCCAGGCTGCACCCCCCTCCCCACCGTGTCTCCTGCCCCCTCCCAGCCAGGCTGCACCCCCCTCCCCACTGGGTCTCCTGCCCCGTCCCAGCCAGACTGCACCCCCCCTTCCCACTGAGTCTCCTGCTCCCTCCCAGGAAGGCACCAGGCTGCACCCCTCCCAGCTCCAGCTCCTGCACGCCCCCCACCCCTCACCCCCGTGCAGCAACCCCAGGGAGCTATGAAAAGTGGTCTCAAGCCCCTGCTTACCCCTCCAGGGCCCCAGACCCAGAATAAAATCGACCATCCCTGGCCCACCGAGCCTCTACCCTCGTGCTCTCACCCTGGGCCTCCTCCATGGGACCCAGGGCTCCTCCCGCCCCTGCGTCCGCTGTGGTTTTTGTGGCCGGGGTCTGACTCACATCAAAGCAGCCCGTCGTGTCAGTCATCGTGACCAGCGCCCCCGCAGCCCCATGCCATCCTGGCCACGACTTAGCAGGTCACAGGGTCCACAAAGTGACCGGCCGTCCCCAGCACCTCCTCACACCCTGTCCTCCCAATCTACCACGAGGCACCCATGGACTTCAAATCAAGTTTAATAAATAAAACAGCAAGGGATTCAAGGCAGTTATCACTTCACAGTGTGGTCCTTGGTGGGGTGAGGGAAGGTCGAGGCCAACGCTGCAGACGGGCTCGAGCCAAAACCCTCTCCTGGTGACACCCAGGGGTTGGGGAGCACTGCCCTGGCCCCGTGGAGGACCCCACTCCAATTTGTAAACAGAAACATAAATAAAACGAGGGAAGCTGGGAACGAGAAGGACCAGGACCCCAAACCATCTTGCTGGGGAGCTTCAACAGAAGTATGACCCACGGGGTCAGGGGAACGGACTGGAGCCAGCCCCTCAGTGCTCAGGCAACGGCGCCTTGGTACCAAGGTCACCTGTCCCAACCCCACACCCGAGGCTGCTCCGGGCTGGAGACAGGGAGGAGGCGGGGGGCGGGGGACGTAAAGTGCGGCGTTTCCTGAAGTGGAGAGCAGGGTGGAGGTCGAGGGCAGGCGGGGCCGACGTCGAGGTATATGGCTCTGTGCCCCACGGGGTTTGGCACCGAGTAGCAGCTGCCCACGACCCCCGGGCTGGGGCAGACTGTGGCCCTGCCAGGTGCAGGGAGATGGAGCCAAGTGGAGTGCTGAGGGTGCCCCGGGCAGAGGCTGCTGGTGGGGGCAGCATCCTGCCCCATCTCCCCACCTTCCTCGCCTCTGCTGGCTAGACGGGGCCGGGCCCTCCGCCTCTGGCCGCCCGATGGGTCCTGCGCTGGGGGCAGCAGCCTGGACAGCACGGACCGTGGTGCCGGGCACCGAGGGCACCATCCTGTGTGTGGGGGCGGCAGGGCAGTGGCCCGGCCACCACTCGCCCTGTCCTTGCCGTGTTCTGAAGCAGAGGAGGCGTTACCCGAGGCCCACGAGGAGGGGAGGGGTCGGGAAGACTGGCAGAGGCAGGCCCCGCGGTGGCCCCACGTCCAGCCCGGGCCACGCACGCCCACCCGTGGCCAGGGATCAACAGGTCATCACGTTACAGCTGCAGGGGGAGAGACCGAGAAAAGGTCAGTCCAGTCCCACAGACGGCACGGCCTGGGTGCCGTGGGCTGAAACCGTGGCTCCCGACCTCGCCTCCCCCAGCGGACCGTGTTTTCACTTGTGCGGGTGGACAGGCTCCCCAAGGCAGCACTGTCCGTGGCGCCTGGGGAGGGCTGGTGGCTGGGGCAGGGGCGGGAGGAGCCTGGCACCGGCCCCGTTTGTACCTTTTTGGATTTTGAACCATATGAATGTATTACCTAGTCAAAAAAATAAATAAGCCGAATTACAAGTACAGAATAAAAGTAAAAAAACCACCAGAGCCTGCTCCATGTGGCCGAGCCATCCTCGGGCCCTCGGGGCACAGCCCTCCCCTCTCCACAGCGCAGCCTGAGGCTGGGGGGCGGGGACCCGGGGCAGGGGGACCCGGGGCAGGGGCCGCACTCACTGTGACAGGGGCTCCGAGTGCAGCCCGGGGGCTGGGCACGCTGGGTGGGCAGCCAGGAAGGGATTCACATCCCCAATGCCGATGAGTCCAAACTCGGTGACCGACAAGGCCACTTGTGCCGGAGCCACGGCCTCCTCAGGCTCTCCGTTCACATCCACACGGCTGGAGATGAGAGGCAGCTCCTCGGGGAGGGCCCCGGGCAGGGTCAAGTCCACAGCTAGTCTCGGGCTGCTGCCAGGCTCTGGAGGGGCTGTGGCCGGGGGGTAGAAGGCTGGCTCGGCCAGGGCAGGGGGCCGCCTGGGCAGGGGCACGGCTGGGGGCGTGTCCAGCTGCTGGAACGGACAAGGCCCCGGCTCCGAGGACGGGAGGCTGTCGGAGCTCTCCCCAGGCTCACTGAGACTGCCGGCCGCGCTGTCTACACTCAGCGGCTCTGCGGGGGAGAACACAGCTGAGGCTGGGCCCCCGGGGCACCCACACCAGCTCTCCTGGGACCCACAGCCATCCCAGCGAGAGCACACCCCATTAAAATCACACTCATGCTTTCAGACTGCAACCTACGCTGGGTTCCTGCCCAACCTCTGCGGGTCCAGCAAAGCCGGTGGACCCCTCTCCACGGAGGTATTTTCACAGAGACATAAAATACAGACACAAAAGAAACCAGTTACAGGGAAACTGTGCACCTGGGCTGACGGCCCTGAACTGGGAGGTCCTAACTCCTGTTTTTTGAAACCAAGACCAAAACACATCAGGTTCAAAGAAATTCAAATAAAACAGAGTAAGAGAAGCTTGAAGGCAAAGTGCGGATAAATGTGGAATCTATGTGATCAGCAATTCCAGAAGTAGAAAGATGCCGTCCCCCTTTTAGGCAAACCACGGAACCAACCAGATTCTGGAACAATCTAAACCCCAGAGTACAACAGACTCAGAGCCAAGGTCCTCATTCTCATCTCTGTGGTCACGGTCAGAAACTCCACTCCCGAGCTGGGCCCCGTCTGCTCCTGTGCGGCCCTGAGCCTGGACGCCAGGGAGCCTTGGACACCCAGGAGACCTCCCACGTGCCATCCAGGGCCACGGGACACGTGTGTACCCTTCCACGCAACAAGCCAGCAAGTCCCCCGTGGCCACTCATGCACGCGACACCCCCACGGACCGCTCTCTGGGGTAGAGCCCCGGGGGCCCAGGCCCAGGCACCAGTGGGAACAGGGCTCTCCCAAGGGCAGGGACCACCCCACATTCTCACCTGTGTGCATCCGCGCCAAGGGGTCCTGCCCAGAGCCCAGGCTGTCAGCAGCAGGGGGCAGGGGCGGCGACGAGCGGGGGCGACCAGTGCCGTCGGGGTCACTGACGTCCAGGTCCTGGTCTGCATCCCTGTGGAGAGTGTGCCGTGAAGGGGAGATGCCTGCCGGGGACGCCCACCCTCCCCCCCCCAGGGCCCTGCAGCCCACTGCACGCACGTGGCTCCCGGCGGGCCGTATTTCCTCCGGCCCAGCCTCGTCTGCTGGGAGAAGTAGTCGTAGCGCTCAGACTTCTTCCACAGGTAGTAGTACTCCACACACTCGCCCACGGACCGGGTGCGCACCTGCGGAACAGCAGATGTGTCACCTCGGCCCCCAGACGAGCAGAGACGGGTCCTGGCACCGCCACTCCTGGACAAAGCAAGACTCCGCCTGCAGCCCCCGTCACCCGCTTCCAACCCGCCCCCGAGGCACATCCCCTCACCTAAAGTAGGACGGCACCCCATCTCAAAGAGCCCACCACCTACTGGTGTGGACCTGGCACCCTGTTCCTCACTTCGGGACCACGTGTCCAGTGTCTCCCTTCCTCGCCCCAGACCACAAGCTCCTGAAGACAGCGGCATCCACCATGCCCCTCGCAGGCCCAGAGAGCGGGGGAGAGATGACCCTGGTGTAGACCCAGAGACAGAGCCCCTGGCCCAGAGAGGACAATGTGTGAGCTCACGTTTCCCACAGAGTGCAGAGTGTTACTGACACTCCACGGGAGAGCTGCCCACGAGGGCCGTCAAGACACCGTTAAAGGACATGCTGTGGGTTTGTGAAACTAACTCAAGATCGTACTTACAGCGTGACACGGAAAACCAAATAAACCCTTATATGTGAAGCATCCTGGGAAGAGAAGGTGCCACAAACGTGTGTCCAGCACACAGCTGGACTCCACCTGCAAAACCTCTCAGGGCATAAGATGAATCACGGAGACCAAACGAACACCACAGGGAATACAGTCAGCGACTCCGTGACAACATCGTACGAGAACAGAAGGTGACCACGCTTATCGTGCTGCATGCTAACTGATGCACGGGACTGTCCATCACGGTTCTGTACTCTTGGTGTACTCCTAACACTATCGTGACCTTGTGCATCAACTACACTACAATTATAAAAAAAACTCTTAGAAACCTCTTCTACCGATTTGGGGCATCTTTCCACTTTGGAGGGTCACCCCACAGCAGGCCAAGGAGGACCTGGAGAGCAGCGGGGACAGGGGCACACACACTGTCTGTTCTGCTCAATGAGACCTGTTGGCGCATCCATCCTGCCAGGGGTTAAGTCCTCCGTGGTCTCCCTGGGGCCAGCTGCAGCAGAAGCCTGAAATGCATGGAGAGGGAGGCCGCAGCCATCACCAGGGTGGGTGGGCACAAAGGAAACAAGGGCATTGTGCCAACAACACTGCGCTCACAGAAGTGGCCTGGGCTGTGGTGGAAACACAGTGCGCAGGAAACTGCAGGCCACAAGGCACGGGTCCAACACCACGCTGGGCATGGTCAGCTAAGCACCATCTGTCCCTACGCCAGCCCCGAGCAGGCACCTCATTCACCCCAAGCTCCTGGGAAAAGACACTGAGGCCTGCACGTGAGCCCGATTTCCGCCAGGCCCTTCCCTACTACCTACATTCCCATGAGCCGTGAGGAGCCAGGGCTACTGGCCCTAGAAGGACAGAACAACAGACTGGGATGAGGGGTGAGGTGGGGAGACGGACAGAGAAAAACTCAGGCTCTGACACAGAACCACAAAACACGCCCAGGCAGATGTCCCACGCTGCATGGCAGAAGGGCCAGGGCTCTGCCAAGAGGCCCCTCTAGGAGTCACGCACGAAGCCACGGGCAAACAGCATCACTGTGGGACGTGCAGACGCCAGCAATGACCCAGGTCGAGGGGAAGGCAGGGTAACCTGGCACTCAGCAACGCCTCCCATCATGAGGTTTGCTGCAGGTGGCAGAAGGACCCACGTCCTTTGAGGAAATTAGGAGATCTAGGGCTGCGAGTAGGATCAAGGTTGGCATGGGCCCTGAGCACGGTGGCAAGGAGATGGCAAAGCAGTGCCAACGGCCCAAGAACAGACAAGACTACTCAAGTTCAGCCCTAAGCAGGGTCTTTCCCCAAACCAGAGCCTTCGTTTGGGACTGGAAGGTGGCCCAGCAGACATCAGCAGAGACTAGAACAAGACCTCAAGGGGCGTATGGTGAGCCAGAGGTGGGCACTAGGGCTTCAGCCATGGCTCGGAGGAGGCCGGGCAGGGGAGTCCCAACCTCACTGTGGGGTGAAGGTGACGTGTGCCTGGCCTCCCGAGCCCCTCCCAGCCCCAGAGAGCCACTGCTAGAGCCTGGCAGGAGCAGGGCGGACAGCGTCCTCACCTTGTTGGCCTGGATCAGGTGGAAATTCTTCCCATGCACTCGGAAGCCATGCTCAAAGTTCCTGCACTCCTCTTCGCTCCAAGCGCAAAACCCATCTGCAAGCAGGAGGGAGAGCACAGTGGCATCGTCAGCAGTGTCCAGGACATGACAAGAGCAGAGGGCAGGGAAGGCCGGGGCTACACGCTCACCTCGGATCACCTTCACATTGAACCGCAGTCTCCGCAGAGCCTCCTCTGCATTGAAATTGCATTTCACCAGCTCGTAAAGCGCCTGGGGAGAAGCCACACTGACTTCCCACCTGTTCACCTCACCCCACACGCCCCTCAGGGACAGGGACGCTGAGGGGTAGTCACACCACCCCCTGGGGGTGGGGACACCACAGGGGCGGGGATGGAGCGTTCACATCGATCTCAGGGGCAGGGACGTCGGAAGCATTCACACCACCCCCAGAGATGGGGACATTGGGGAGACGTTCATACCACCATCAGGGACAGAGATGTCAGGAGCATTCACACCACCCTCAGGGGTGGGGACGTTGGGGGGGCGTTCACACCACCCTCAGGGGTGGGGACGTTGGGGAGAGCATTCACATCACTCTGTGGTGGGGACGTTGGGGGGGCGTTCACACCACCCTCAGGGGCGGGGACGTTGAGGGGAACATTCACATCACTCTCAGGGACGAGGATGTTGGAAGGGCATTCACATCACCCTCAGGGGCGGGGACACTGGGGGTGCTCATACTGTCATAATGAGTGTTCTGCATTTCAACTTGTCACCATCACATGACCACACTGGGCAGGAGCTTCACGGCACACCTCCCCCACCACCCTCCCGGGGTGGCCTTTCCATTCCCCATGCCCCTCCATGCCTGACCACCCCTCCCCTCCTGCCCCTGCATGGTCCCCCGAGACACCTGAGCCGCTGGCTTCCGGCTCAGGGTGCTCCAGCACCACGGCCCTCTGCACCCCGTGTGGCAGCCCCACCTGCTCACTGTCTTTCACCGATTCTCCCTCCGGGAGCTGCGAGCCAGCCATCTCGTGCCACCTCCGTTTCACTGCCCGGTACAGGAACTCCTCCACCTCCCTCTCGGGGAGGATGTTGGGGTCCCAGAGCAGCTGGTCGTCATTCTCGTAGACTGTGGAGAAGGAGTGCTGGGGTCACGTCACGGCACACCGTCCGTCCCCACGCCTAGGGAGCTCCCCCTCCTCTGAGAGCCCCGTCAGAAGCGCCTGCCAGGCACCTCTGGAGGACCCGCCTAGTTCTCTCGTGCGTAGCAAAGAATGACTACGCACAGATCACCAAAGACGGTACTTCACGACCAGGGAGCGTTTACTCCAGAACGCAAGGTTGGTCTAATGTCTGAAAGCCCATCAACATGAGAATGAAAGAGAAGAAAAACGACGGTCTCAGGAGACACAAAAAAGTACGTGACAGAATTCAAACTGCCAGCTGCTAACAAAAGGAAACTTCCTCGTCCGACAAAGACCATCTACAGCGGCCTACCGCCAACGACATACTAAATGGGACATGGAACGCTTCCCCCAAGTTTGGGAACAAGACAAGACGTCCTCTCTCACCTCTTCTTTACCCTCCTGTACAACACGGAGACAAAAAGAAGCAAAAGACACAAAGATTGCAAAAAAATGAAGTAAAGCTGTCGTCCCACGTCACACGATCACGTATGTAAAAAAAATTGAAGAGAACCTACAAAATACCAAAATCTGGAAATAAGCTCAGCGGACTCACTGTGTGCAAGATCAATTAAAATAACGAACTGCATTTCTACTGACAAATCGAATACACGTGACATTTTTCAAAAGACCTTTTCCAGCAGCACAGACAGGGGCCACTGGGTATGAACAAGACTGCTACAAAAGCCCCACTGGGTTTCAGGAGGGGAAACCACAGGTGGGACCTGCAGGCGTGGACCGTGCTGCCATCCACGCTCTCCACAAAGCAACCTCAGCGTTCAGCACAGCTCTCGGCAAAACCAAGCAGCCGACGAGCTAGCTAGCAACTTCTATGGAGGTACGATCAGGCTCCTGACGCCGGAGGACGGGCACGGTCTCAGACGCGGCTCAAGGGACGCCAGCGCGCAGAAGCCCAACACACGCACGCGTGACAGACACTCCGCTTCTGACAGGCACCTCTGCGGTGCAGCAGGCCAGCACGGCGTGTCCCGTCACAGGGCCAGAACACGGCACGGGTTGAAGGACTCCTGACCCACACCTCCAACCACACACTCAACGTTAAATCGAGTCGGATCGTTGCTTTCTACGCGACAGGGAAAATAAAGGACAAGAGCTGCTGCGAAAACTTCTTTAATGGCACAGAAACACAGTACGGTCAGAGTAAACACCGACAACTCGGACGTCATCGCAAGTGAAGACACTGCCAACTGGGTTCAGAAAACGTGGTGGTGCCCAGAGCCGAAGACAGCCCTGCATCCAGAACGCCAGAAGGACGCCCACAAATCAGACAGAGAAAGGCGATTCCATCTAAAAATGCGGAAAAAGCCTTGAGCAGGTGCCTCCCAAGAGATCTGCAAACGGCCAGTAAACAAGATCGCTCTCCAGAGAATCGCATTAAAGCCACAACAAGACACCCCTCCCCACCCACAGACGCTGTCAAGCGTGCGTGAGGACGTACGCCAATGGGGACTCCGCAGGTCGCTGGAGGGAGCCCAGGCAACGCCCAGACATCTGTCCGGGAAGAGCGCGTATGTCCACAGAGCGACGCACGCAGAGACATCCGGAGCTGCACACGGGAACCACCGCACTACCGACCAACGGTACAACGGATGAGCAATGTGGTCCCTCCACACCAGGAAACGGCATACAAGGTCCACGTGCCACACTATGGATTTAACTTCCCAGGTGTGCGTGGAGGGAGACGCCAGCTCCCACCCCCTCGGGACCAAGGACCAGCCATTCCCTGGAAGTGGAAAAGGCCCGAATGCCACACTCAGTGAAGGCTGGGGTTCCAGACTGAGGTCTGCACGCGTTCAGGACAGCCTGACAGTGCAGCTAAGAAGCATGCACCGGTGCCCTTCTCTGGAGGAGGGTCTCACGTGTCGTCAGGTTCACAGACTCACCTGCACGGCCCCATGACCCAGCTGACCTGCATGGTCCTGTCTCCTCCTTTACCCAAATGCTTACGGCGGAGCAAGCATGTGCCACCAAGCCCACATCCCAGCTCCTAGCCCAAGGCCTCGATATCTCTGCTGCAAGTCCCTGTCTCCTCTGTCCCACCTCACTGCCAATCTCAGCGACTGAATCATCCTGGGAGAGACTCCTGAGCCAGGGGTGCCAGGCCTGGGCCCACAGGGCCTTTGGGGCCAGGAAAACAAGACTTGGGTCAAGAGCCAGGTGACTTCACTTCCTATTTTCTTCACCTGTCAGTGAACACGGCAATGCCTGTCTCAAAGGACAACAGGCCTCGCTCCATGTTCCAGTGGGGCCATCAAGTCCGGGACAGGTAGTGCCCTAAGGAGAGGGCAGGACAGAGCGACACTCGTCTCTGGCGGTCATCTGGGACAAGGCCAGACACGGGAAGAGCCGGCTGGGGAAATGTGTGCACACCTGGAGAGGTGAGGACAAGGGCCTGGGCAGGACAGGGTGGACAGAGCCGAGGGCAGGGAAGTCGGGTGCCGGATGCACAGGGCAGCAGGACCACACAGTGCCGAGCGGAGGGGCAGTGAGCAGGGAGGGGACGTCAACTGGTCCATGGCCTCCTGCCCCTCAGATTCCCTCCAAGGGTTGGGGAACTGGTTCTGGGTAAGCACGCAGCAAGTTCCTTCCTGGCTACACTGGGGTTCCCGCTTCTTCTCCCCGTCTCCCACGCTCACAAGGCCCCACTTACGTTTCTCACCGTGGCGGTCCAACTGCAGGCTGCTGAGGTCGGCTTGGAACTGAGGCCCAACCATGATCTCCTGCAAAGGCAAGGGCCCAAGGCAGTCAGGGCTGATGGGAGGCCCAGCCACGAGGTGCTGACATGGGCCCCAGGGCGGCCGCCTAGAGCCCCAGGCTCATCTGTGGTCTTGAGCACGAGAGGCAGAGAAGGGTGTGGGCGTGAGTGACGGTGTCTGCACCCACTTGTCCATCCGTCTGGTACAGCCAATCCCGTGGCAACGGGGGTGAGGCCCGAGGACCCAGGAGTTCTGAGGTCCAGCCCAAAGGCCCCAGGACGGGACCTCGGGCCACATCACAGGGACAAGAGCACAGTCAAGCCCCTAGCCCAGCTCACTGCTCAGGAGCCACATGCTCAGCCCTGCCCTGAAGGGCCAGAGACCCACTTTCAGGGCGCCACTGGGTCAGGGCCACTCACCTTCTTACATTTGTTGGCAGGAAGAGGGTCCTCCTCTGTGTCGGAAGAGGTGGAAGAGCTAGGCTCTTTGTCTGCATCAGCCAGGAAGCAGGCTTTGGGGAAAGGGGAGCAGCTGAGTCGTGCCCATGGCTCCAGGGGGCCCACCCTGGCTAGCGGGCTCTGGGCGCCACTGCACCTCCCCCCGACTCTCCGTCCACCGGACCCCTACACTGTGCCTTTCCTGAGGAGTGTGGCCCACACCCTGGCCACATGATGGGTGTGCAACCGGCCCAGGACTGGGGACTCAGGAGGCCTCCCCCTGCTGCGGTCGCTACCCTGCCAAGCCCTGAGCCCAGCACCTCGCCCTGCCAGCCTCACAGGATGCACAGGCAGGCAGAGCCGAGGGGAGGACGGTCTCAGGCCGCTGCCCCAGACCTGACAGACTGCAAGTTACAGGAACCTGTCCCTCCTCAGGTCAACCAAAACCACTCAGTCTCCGCTCACAGGTCATCAGGAAGGTGGGAAGCCCAGAGGAGCTCAGACTGAGGTCAGGGCACCCACGGGGTACGAAGCATCTGTGCGCAAGTGCCTGGCCCCCAGCAGCGCGGGGCCCCTCCATCTGCATCCCAGAGCGGCGCCGGGGCCCCTCCATCTGCATCCCAGAGCCACGCTGGGCCAACCCGAGGGGAGGAGCAGGGGGGAGCACAAGTGCCTGGCCCCCTAGCAGCCGGGGCCCCTCCATCTGCATCCCAGACCGCACTGGGCCAACCCGAGGGGAGGAGCAGGAGGGAGCACAAGTGGCTGGCCCCCCGCAGCCCGGGGCCCCTCCATCTGCATCCCAGA